GGTTATAGGCAAAAATCACTTTTTGAGACTTATGCGAGGTAGTAAAGACCAGTTGTTCGTACGTTTTTGCTGAGAAAAAACAAAAAAAAATCTCTGGAAGGGGGAGGCGATCGCCTGATCGCCACCACCCTAAATCCGCCACTGACCCACACCCACACCCTGGAGACATTTTTCAGCAAAGTTATGCGACATTTTCGAAATTATTGAAGCGTAAGAAAGAAATTCTTAGAAAACTGTATAGAATATTTCAGAAATTACAGAGTAATTTCAATATTTGCTTTCTATTTTTGGAGATGATCGAAATTTCTATATACTAATGATAAATATATCATACTGTTTTATTAGAAGTATGAATTTCTTCGTCAAGAACATCCATACCTACATCCCATAGCCACACTCACAGGTTATTATTCTGATATCGTTAAATTTTATTTATAGGAACATCATGTTCATTGTTTTTCAATAAAATTTCATGATAGTTTTTAATGGCATCTAATTGTATTGTAATCATCGGCACTGTATTCATTCGATTTATTAACTGGTAAATATGAGATAATGTTGTGCTGTTTTCATTTAATTCTATTGTTTTCACTTGATGTTCATAGTTCATTTTTAGTTGCTTCAATTGGCCAATTAATTCTCTATTGAAATCACTTGATGTTTCTTTTTGACAAATAAAATCTTCTTCATTTATTATTCTATCGATGCCAAATAAAAATGGATCATTTTGTTGAATCTCAGAAGTTTTCATCAGAAAATTAGCAAATATTGCGCACGTTTCACAAAGAATATTGAAATATTCTTGTAACGTTTCAATCGATTCATTTCCTTTTTGGTTGACAGCATCATAATTGAGTCTGTATTCTATTGGTTTTGGTTCATTTGATGTACACTATAAATATATAAAAATCTAATATATGTATATTAAGATTATATCGGAAGTTTTCGATTCAGGAAAATCTCCGTTATGATGAGAAAATGGTAAATATCTACTACATGTCTTCATTGCTCCAGGAAGAAGTATAAGTAAAAGATGGTCAAGAGTCAATTTACCGGAGAAAAATTTCAATATCTACTCTATAATACAATGAAATGTACTCATTCTTCTATGATTGTAGGTGAATATTTATAAAAAAAAAAAGGATTGAAAAATCGTGTCTCGAAATATCATCATTGGCATTCAATGATGAATTGATATCTATGAGAAGTTATAGAAAAAAAGAAAACTACATACATATATTTAATTAAAGAAATAAGTGGCAAACGAATTTTCTTTTACTAAAATTTCCTTACTCATTTCGTTTTGTCTCAAATTTTCCTCATAAACACATATCTTCTTACTTATTATATTCTGAAATTTTCATTCATCGAAAACATGAAGTTATGCAGATTTATTCAATTTCGACAGGTCAAAATGATACACATTTTTAATGGACATCAGTAGTCCCCAGCTAAGATCTCAAGAAGATTTCTAACGATCGATCTACCTGTTTCATTATAAATGATTAGCATTTAATAAAAAAAAAAACAAGATACATTTATTTTGTAGGTAAAGAGTGACACGAGTGAAAAGAACTTATGATCACTTCGTCAATGAAATTAAAAGCAAAATTTACCGTTGTTAATCTCTATTCTATAGACATTCGCTTACATCTTGTCTAATCATTTACAAAGAAATCATTGATAATTAATAGACGATTTCATACTAATGAGAAAGTAGCAAAATCATTGCTAATATAGTAGATATGGTGTTTCTTTTCTATTTGGATACAAAATAAAAGTTTTTCTAAAATACGATATTCATCAAACAATAACGTGAGACTTGATATTGAATCTTTCTATAAATATCATAAAATGAAAGAATTTGTGATACTTTCTATTAAACGCAAAAACATTCTTCTCGAAATTTTGTTGTCATT